GTGAGCACCGGTCTGCCCATGTGGTACCAACTACCTTCACGCTGCTGTTTGCTTTTGTTGCTTTTTTTTCTTCTTCAGTTTCACATATGAAGCTGTTCTTATTGTGATCCGCAAGTTTTCTTGCCTCTACAGTTCTTCTCTTCCCTCAGCCGGTGGGATTGGGGCAGAAACGATCAGAGGTCCTTGTCTGTCTCCAACTAAGTTGGCTTCAGACTGCCCTAGATAACTTGCTTACCTTTTCTTCCCCACTTTCTTATACTGCCGTAACTCCTCATGTGACTGCAGTCCTTCTCCTTGTAGACCTCGGCCTTTTTCTTTTCTTCTCTTTCTAATGGGAAGCATAATTGAGGTTCTGTATACCCGTATGTGCTTGATGGGATTAAATATCTTGAAAACTCATAATTTAACTTAAGCAAGCCTTTAACCATGTTTTTTTTCAGAGGCTTTGTAACTTAGCAAACCCAGCTTGTTTTCCTATGTGGATAGGAAAAAATTCAGATACACAAGAAAAAGGCACTTCTTGCTTTGATGAAGTATTTAATCACTAATAGAGGTACTACCTCATTTTAAGGAAACTTTTATTCATTCTTTTCACTGAAAAGAATATGTTTGATTCAGTGAAATTGAATCAAAGAAGTATGTTTTCTTCTCTCAGTGTTCTGGCTTTGAAAAAAATTTTTCACCTCCTTTTTTTCCCCCTCAAACTGGTATCTCTATCCTCTGTGCACTTTTCTTCAGTGCAGTCATGCAAATGGGGTTTCTGTCAAGTGGTCAGGTAGTGTATTGAATAACTGAGAGTGGGACTATGTGACATCTTACCAAACTGGGAAAATAAGTGGTTGTTCTGAACTGCTGTGGAAGAGTTTAGACTGCTTAAACTGGTTGTTGTCTCTTTTAGATTTATCTGCATTTATCCAGCATATTTAAACAACAAGAAGACAATAGCAGAAGGAAGAAGGATACCTATAGACAAAGTAAGTTTGTGGGTGGCAGGAAAAAAGAATATTGTGTTTTGTTTTGTAGTAGTTCTATAGAGAGTTGGAAAAGAAAACTAAATTTCGAAGTTATTATCTTCCAAATTCCCACATGGCAAATTAGTTTGATGGAAGAGCCCTGGGTTTCTGTTCTCATCTGAGCAGCACCTTTGGCAAGATGGTGAAGCAATGACGATCAGATGTGTTCAATCTACTACAGAATTGATGTCCCAAATTTGGAAGAGATGCAGAAAAGATTAGTTGATGATTGTGAGTGAGCTTGGTGACTGATTTAACTAAGTGTGCCCATATTCTGTGCTTTGTCTCCTTTGTTGGTCTCTGTCAAAGATGGAAGAACTTAAAATGTATGTAGCATGCAGATGGTTCTGTTGCTTTCAATCTGTCCAGAATAGTTTTGATTCTCACTCTTTATAGTACTTTTGATGAGCAAGTGCTGAGTTTATAAAGGGCTTTTCTCACTGATAGTTTTCTGTTTGTTTTCCTGATAATAATTAAAAAGTAAAAATAAGTATACAGCATATATACTGCCACTGAAAGACCTACCTGTGGAATGGATCTGCTGCCCTGTGCCTAGAAAAAAAAAAAAAGTTCCACTGTTTCCTGCACTTGTTGCTGTAAATTTCCCTTTATCCTTTACTGAGTCATCTTTTTTGGTTCTGTGTAATTATACGCCATTTCAATTATTTTTCTTAGGCAATTCTGTTACCTTCTTTATTCCTCTGTCCTAAATAATTATCTCATCTGCTTTCTGTTTTGCTGATTTCTCTGTATCTTTGTCTACTTATTTTTGTTTCCTACACTGCAGAAGGGCTCCCAAATGACTTTTGCAGTACATTTGTCACTATTTGAAGTACTATCTCTTTCCCATTCACTTTTTCTAGTTCTACAGTATAGAGAAGCCACTGTTTCTGTATAGGTAACTCATCACTCAAATATGTTTAACTGATGTTTAACATGTTGTTTCAACAGGCTGTTGAAAATCCCACATCTACTGAAATCCAAGATGTGTGTGCAGCAGTTGGATTCAATGTGCTATTAGAGGTAACAAAAACCGGGCCCCACTCCTCCCCTCCCCCAGGCAGTCAAACCAAAACCACAAAAAAACAGGCACCTTGGTATGTGTCTTGTCTTCTGTGACTTTATTTTTTCTTACAGACAGAATAAATTGCAATAATGTCTTTTTTAACAGCCAAGGTATCTTCTTTCTTTGAGTGTTAAATGAGCATAATGATGAAGGAAATGTTTGAAAACAGAATTACCTTGGAAGAAGGCAAGAATTACTTGAATCTCTAAGTCAGTGTCACTTTTTACGCTTATAAAAAGATTACTCTGTTAACTGTTTTTCTTAGAAGACTATCCTAGTTTCTTAAAAGTTCCTAATACTCAGAATAAAAGCAAATCTTGCAAGGTGCAACTCTGTAAATTAAATTTTAAAAAGCACATTTGTATTGAAAGGTATTATCTTTTGGAACTAGTGTCTGATAATAATAGGATTTTGTTACTTAAAATCTCTAGGGTCCTTTGGAGTTATGTTTCAACTAGAGTTGCAGTATGCAATAGTTATTTACTGCCATATTTGCTTGGTCTTCAGTTTCTTGATTTTTTTTTTTTTTTTTTCTTTTCCTTATGGAATGAGCTTGGGTTTCTAGCATACTTTGTTTTCTGAAGTGATGAATGATTTCAAATACTGTGGAATTTTCTATCAGTTCTTTACCATAGATGTTTTCTTTCAGAAGTGACTGGCATCCAAAAGCTTGCAGAAATTCACTTTGCTTTTTGAAAGACAAATACATTCCTTTTAATGCACACTCACTTGTGAAATAGCCTGTAAACAGCCAGTAAACAGCCTGCAGCAGAAATAAAGGCAGTGACTATTAAAAGTAGTGGATGTCAGACTGCGACCTACCACAACTTACTAGAGATTGTCTCTAGATGTCCGGAAACGTTTGTGGCATGGAGATGAGACAGAAACTTGTCTGTGCATTCCAGGTTGGTGGGCATGTAGAACAGTCCCTGTAGCTGGTTACTCATTGAATTGTTACATACCAGCCATGAACAGTAAGTTACAGCAGTGCTTCTGACAATGTTACACTATATAGCCCAAAAGCTATATAGCTACTGCTGTTAGCTACTGTTAGCTACTGCTACAGTAGCAAAGCATTTGGAGAATGAGACTGATGAAGGGCTGCAGTTGTTGCTTGGATCTGTTAAGAATTCCATGATGCTGTGACTAAGATCAAATGCCCCCTGACAGTTTTTGCAGAAAATTGTTCCAGTAATTAATACATAAATTAATTTTCCTTTTGTATGACAGAAAAATAAGATGTATCCTAGAGAGTGGAATCGTGATGTGCAGTACAGGGGTAGAGTACGAATTCAGCTCAAACAGGATGATGGCAATCCATGTTTACCTCAGTTTCCAACACGTGAGTAGAATATCTCGGTTAAACCCTTTACCTGTTACTAAACCAGAAAGACTTCATTTTATCAGCTTGATTAAATCATTTTACTGTCAAAAATTTTAGAATATTGCATTAAATCTCTTTACCTCTGTAAGTCAGCTAAATGTAGTCTATGTGAGCAGAGTTCGTAAAAATGCTGCTCTTTCTTCAGTACTTGATTTGAGAGGAAGTTAGGAGAGTGTTGTGTGACAGCAGTAGTTGATGTATTCAATATACAGTTTTGGCTTACTGTTGTCTTGACAGACACAATGGAATACTTGATAATAAAATTGATAAATTCCATTTGTAGGCTATATGCATCAGTTAGGCATTTGTACAGGTACCAAATAGATAAAATAAAACACTGAGTTTGCAGTTCAGTTTTATGTTGGTATTTTCATATTTAAGCACATTTATTATTATAAAGGCTGTATTTATTGTTATAAAGGGCAGGCCCTAGAGCAGCTTCCTGTAAAAATTACTTGTCATTCATCATGAACTGTTCATCTTTTCCTTTTTTCTTGTTAAGGAATCAGTATGTAATAGGGAAGCAAATAAGTATCCAAAGAAGGATATGTCTAAAGAAAAGAACAAGAAGAATACCAATATGAGAATAGCCGAAGAATGCATCAGGAGACAAATTCAAACCATGTTTCTGTAGGAAGATGGTGGTGTCTCTGTAAACAGTGCTTGTAGCTTTTTGTGTTAGTCATTCTGTCCTCAGTATTTTAGGCCATTAAGACCTGAGGAAAGAGGGTAACTGAATATTGTCAGGGAATATGTCTGTTCTGGTCTGCTGTGATGCTGTTCCTGTGCTTAAATAATAATAATAATTTAAAAAGAAAAAAAAAAAAAACTGGCTGAAGTTCTTTGCAAACTTGAAGCTATCCAGCACATGAAAGAGAACTCCTTGGCTTTTTTTTTTTTATTGTAACAGAAAGCTGAAAATGGGCTAAAGCTTTTAACTTTGAAACTAGCGTGGATCTTCTTAACACAGTAGCAGTGATCCCTCCCTATATTTTTAGGTAAATCAGTGATGCTGTATGCTGCAGAAACCATTCCCAAACTGAAAACAAGAACTCAAAAGATGGGAGGTAGTGATCAAAGTCTTCAACAAGGAGAAGGAGGCAAGAAAGGTAAAGGGAAGAAAAAGAAATGACTGACTCCACATCTGAAATAAGTGTAATATCTAATAGCTGTACTTAAAACGGATATGGACGGACATATTACTTAATGCAACTTTGAGGTGAAAGATACAGGAACAAAATAAACAGGTCAAGACAAATAGAACTGCCTGCTTATTTTGGAGCTGGAATGCATGTAACTGCTTTGTGTCTGTGTAACAATAAATCTGTCTTCACACACACACACTCTGCAAGTCTGAAGCTAGCATCCAGTTTTGAAAGTGGAACAAACATAAGTAAATGGGGGAATCACTTCTTCCAAAATCAATATGCAGCTTTTTAAAAATAATAAATTAGACTGGATAAGCAAACAGTTTTCAGGTTGGTTAATCATTTATCTATGCTGGTTGACTGATTGTCTTGACTTTGGAGGGTCTGTATCACCAATAAAAAAAAAATGTAAATCAGTAAAATTATGACTTTGTAAACTTTCCTTCCTAATCATCTTTTATGATTGTCAATGTATTAATAAAGGTGGCACAGTAATTTTGAAATATTTTCTTGAATGCTTTTGTCAAAAGTGTTAACTTTTCCTCTGCAGCTTATTTGAAGAAGTCAGAGATACTGCAGGGTTAGTATTTTAACTGTTTAAGATAACTGAACTGAATTTAACTTTTTAAACTCTCTGTTCTCAAATTATCAAAGAGAGATTAAAAAAAGAGATATAAAACACATAGATATGGCAACCCTGCCTAGTACAGGGGGTTGGAAATAAACGATCTTTAAGTCCCTTCCAACCTAAGCCATTCTGTGTTGAGGGAGTTGCTCTCTGGCTCGATGGAATGCCACATGGCAGAAACAACAGCATGGACACTGCTGAAAGCAGCTGAAGGCTTAGTTACTGGAAACAACGAAGCGCTCAGAGGTTATTAGTTACTGCTGCTCTGTGGAGAGGGAAGACCAAGAGAGGGAAGCAAGAGTGCAAGATGACAATGAAGTGACAGCGGAAGACCTGTTGTCTAGTTTGGTGAATTGAAAAGGAAGTCTTGAATCTGGTTTGGTTAGTGTTGGAAAGTCTCAGATTTAAAAGCTTTTAGAGAAATGACTTATATAGTACTGCCTCTTCCCACTCAGAAGCTTATAAGGAAGGTTAGGCTCTGGAATCCCTGAATAGGGCACTCCCTGCAGTAGTCAGACAGTGACTCAGAGGAAAAATACAATACAGTTTATTGAGCTTTCTAACAACAATTAACTACTCTGAGGCAAAATTAGGTAATACTTTAACAGCAATTATAAGCATTATGGATAGGGTACTTGGCCTGAGTGTTTTTTCCTTATCAACTACTCTAAGGCAAGTTTAGGCAATGGCTGCTAAAGAAAAATGAGTAGAAGATGATCAAGAGGAAAGAGAAGAAAAGAGAGAGAAATTAAGTATTCCACCATTTCTTAGATCTGGTCTTGATGTGTGGGTGGTGAGTCAATGGAGATTAATGTGCATAAACACTTTTATATAGTACAGTTGGTCCAGGATTGCTGCTGGGATGTCAGCTCCCCCATGTCTCTGCAGTTAGATGTTCTATAAGATTCAGGAGTCTTCAGCAAGAGTCTCCAGTGATTATGCACCCTCTTCAATGACTTGCTCAGACCAGTGTTTTTCAGTGTGTGGAGTTACTCAAGCTGATGCTTTTCAGCTGTAGGAGGAAACATGCTATCTGTAAGAGGAAGTATAGAAAAGCGTGCTGCCACTCTGCCTCTGCAAGACTTGATCCATCCTTCTCCTTGCTCCTCTTCTTGCGATGTTTTCTGCTTGAGTTGTTTGAGTCAGCATAGGGCAAGTTCCTTGTTGGTCTCAGACAAGTAATTTGTAACCTAAATCAAAATTTTAAGTAGCTTTTTTTAAAATTATTTCAAGAGGTGAAAGTAAACTACTCTGTCTGCAACACCTATACATGCAGTTGACTGGGCTGGAGGACTTGGGAAACTACATGCCTGTCAGCCTCACTTTCATCTCAGGAAAGATAATGGAATAGCTTATTTTGAAGGTCCTCTCTAAGCATACAGAGGTCAAGAAGGTGATTGGGGCAGTCAGCATCAATTCACCAAGGGGAAATCAAGCTTAATCAACCTCCTAGCCTTTAATCAACCTCATAGCCTTCTGTGACAGAATGACTGGCTGCTTAGATGGGGGAGAGCAGTGGATGTTCCCTACTTGACTTTCAACACTGTCTCTCAAGATGTTCTCACAAATAAGATCAGAAGATGTGGGTTAGATGAGTGGGCAGCCAGGTGAATTAAAAACTGGCTCAACAGCAGGGCTTACAGTGTTGTAATCAGATGTGCGCTCCAGTTAGGCCTGTAACTAGAACTGTTTCCCAGAGGCTGGTTCTGGTCTCATTCAATGTCTTCATCAATAAGCTGGATGAAGGGATAGAGTCTACCCTCAGCAGATTCGTTGATAACACAAAGCTGGGGGAGTGGCTCACACAGAGGACTGTGCTGCCATTCAGTGAAACCTAAACAGATCCAAGAGTTGGGTAGAGTGGATCCTAATGAGGTTCAGTAAGAACAAGTGTAGAGTCCTGCACCTGGGGAGGAAGAACCACGTGTAAAGATTAGGGGCTGACCTGCTGGGAAGGAGTTCTGTGGAGAAGGACCTGGGTGTCCTGGTAGACAGCAGGTTGGCCATGAGCCAGCAGTGCGCACTTGTGGCCAAGAAGGCCAGTGGTATCATAGGGTGCAATAAAGACAGCATGGCCAGCAGGTCGAAGGAAGTGATCCTTCCCCTCTACACTGCCTTGGTGAAGCCACATCTGGAGTGCTGTGTCCAGTTCTGGGTCCTTCAGTTCAACAGACAGGAAACTTCTAGAGAAAGTCCAGGGATGACTACAGATATGATTGGAAGCCTGGGGCATCTCCCTTGTGAAGAAAGGCTGAGACCTGAAACTGCTCAGCTGGAGAAAACTCAGAGGAGACCTTATTAATGTGTACAAATACATTGAGGGAAGGTAATCATCAGGATGGAATCAGACTGTTTTCTGTGGTATCGGGCAAGAAGCTGTGTAACACTAAACTGCAACATGAAAAGTTCTATCTGCACAAGGGAAAAGCTCATGTACTGAGAGCTTAACAAAGTACTGGAACAAGCTGCCCAGAGAGGTTGTGGAATCTCCGTCACTGGAGAAACCAAAACCCACCTGGATGTGATCCTGGGCAAAATGCTCTAGGTGACCCTGCTTGAAGCAAAAAGGTTGGACTAGATAATCCCAAGTACTTTCTTCCAACCTCCACCATTTTGTGATTCTGTAACAGCGTTTAAAACACAACATCAGAATTTAATATGGCTTACAGAAAAGTTAAGCAGACTGAAAAACAGGACAAGAAATGAAACCACCAAATTTGCAGGTTACTTCAAACTTTGTAGCTCACAGCTACAATTTTGCTTTACTGTTTGTTCTCTACAGCATATCCACTCATAAGAAAATATTGTTGGCAAATCATAAGCTGTGATACTTTGTTTTTCTAACAAGTGACAAACTGTATGCTACACAGAAAATGATGCATAGTGGACCTTATAGTTTGATGTTTTACATGCATACTCCTAAGACACTATTGCATCGCTTTTTATAATAGGCATTTCTCAAATTTAAAAAGTTAAATCTGCTGACAAACTGTATGTTCTTTTATAGTTCTTGTGCCTGAAAAATTAGTGAATAATCCTATATCAACTTAGAGAAAATCCCAAGATCCTCAAGAGTCCATTTTAAGATTTACTATTTAATTTAAAAACTGAGGATCAGAGATCACGACTTCTTTTCACATCAGAAGTTCAAGTTTACCTTCTGTCTTGTCTGTGTTAAGAACAGTCATAGCACTACTCTATGCTCTGAAGACATACCAGCATGGATATGAGAACCGAGGCTTCACTAATTTTGAATTTCTTGAAAATACTGTAATGTGAAATATTAAGTAAGCTACAGATTTAAAAAAAAAAAAAAAAAAAAAAAAAAAAAAGCCATCAACTGTGAAAAAGCATTTATTCTCTTTATTTTAGCTCCATTCTTACCAATTGGTCATGAATACATGAAGAAATCTGTATCTCTACTCAGGAATTTTCACTGCTCACAAAAATTTTCTTTGACACTCAATCAGAACAGACTGCAGATGTTAATGTGCACAAAAAGCCTGCGGAGGTTGCAGGCTGACCCATTAACAATGCAGTTCTGGAGACCAACACCTAAGACAGTAAAAAACTTCAAGAGGACTGCAGAAACAAGTGTTTGTAATGGCACTCCTTATGAAAGATGGTTTGTGCTTTTGAGTGTGATATTATGAGGCACTCCGTTTACAATTTTAGCCGACAACTTTATTTAGAAAGAGATAGCAAGTACATGCCATCTTTAGTCATCTTGTGCTTATCTTCTCCAATTTAATGCATCCATATCTGGCAAATAACTCCACACTAATATAAGCTTGATCACTTGAATAAAACTACTCTTCCCACATTTTGTATCTATCCATTCAAGAAAATGAACATTGTAGGAAATATTATGTTATACTGAAACATGCAACAGTAAATAGTCTCTATCATGAGATGCCTGTCATCACTCATAACTTTACTAGCAAGCAATAAATTTGCTATGCCAGCTCTCTCAGTAATTCTCTGTACATTCCAGAAAATCTGTTCAGATGTATATTTTCCTTGTAAAATAATGTCATGTTACTAGATGCAACACAGTCAATGTTGAAAGTAATTACATGCACAAAGAGACAACTGAAGTGCAGAGCCTCTGAGATATATACTTTTTATTTATGTTACTGAAGAAGGTGATTACTGTAAGACTTTTTCATGAAGATTAATAAAATATTTTCATTAAATTTCAGATGCTGCCCACTGCACTGCTTTTAAATAAAAATGCATGAGTTCTATGCAGACAACAGCAAACTAGCAAGCAAACTTATAGCACATTCCTTTAATATATCAAAACATTTTCAAGGCAACATTATTAAAATTATACCACAGATCCCCATAACATCAAGCTTCAGAATAGAGGTGGTTGGGAAGCTTTATCCAGTTAAAAGTTTTAAGTGCTTTTCTTCTCTTCACCCAGCAAGTTCACTGTTGCTTTCTTGGCTGCAGAAAAATAAAAGTTTAATCTTAGCAGTGCCCTACATTCTTAAGCAGCTTACTCGGTGTTCATGAGCTGCACCAATAAATTATTTACCTGTTACACCACAAAAGCAAATAATAGCTTTTAGTGATGAAACTACAAAAACTATATTTCATTCAAAAATTAAACCAGATCCCAGGAGCAGCATAATTAAGAGCACAAAGTGAATTACAATTATTTTACTGAGAAAATAAGAGCTGCTGATGGTCCTTAGTACACACAGGCTTATAGCAAGACAACAATCAAACTGCCGAAATGGGGATGGAACAATGCTAGAACACATGTTTGTGTGCATTACTTCTTAAAGAAGATATGAGCGTGGAAACCATTTTATGGTAAAACAGGGAAGAATCATACAATGGCACAGAATCACATAATGGCTGAGGCTGGCTGGGTCCTCTGGGTCCATGTGGCTCAGCCCTTGCTCCAGCAGGGATACCCAGAGCAGGGTGCCCAGGACCACATCCAGTCAGCTTTTGGAGATCTGCAGGGAGGATTCCAAGACCTCTCTGGGCAGCCTGTGCCAGTGCTTCATCACTGGCACAGCACAGCAGTGCTTCCTGGTTTCAAAGGGAATCTCCTGTTTTCCAGTTTATACCCACTGCCTCTTGTCCTGGCACTAGGCATTACTCAAATGAGTCTAGCTCAGTTCTCTCTGCACCCTCCCTTCAGATATTTACCAAAAGAATAAGTGATAGATTGGAGAATGAACTAAAAGGAATAAATGAGAAAATGAGACATAAGCAACAAGGAAAATCATTAATGTTTAAGATACCTATCTAACAATAATAATCCAGGAAGGCTTAAGCAGCAAAAGTTCCAATAGAGTAGTTGAGAAAGGCAGATCATTTAAGTAATGGCAAGAGAAGAAGTTGATAAAAAGAAATCAAACTGCATGTATTGTTTGGGGAAAAGGAGATACAATGTGCTTTGAGGTATCTAACAGATAGTTTAATAAATAAATTTAAGGATTAAGATAATGAAAATTTATTTTGAATGAAATTTTTTTTTTCAGCTACTTACATTTTCTTCTTTTATTCATAAAATTACCATCAGATATTATCAAGTGTCCAATTTTCAATGCAATGAAAGCAAAAGTTACACAACTCCAGGCTATGATAACATTCGGTTATTCAATCAAATAAAAATCTAAGTAATTTCTTTAAGAGTTGGCTCAGAAATCTTTAATTTCCAAAGGAAGGAAAAATACAAAATCTCATAGACAGGAAACCTTCATTTCAAGTGCTGTCACTTGCTACAGGTCAAGGATTTGTTTACTGGACAATTAGCAGCTCTTCTACAGTACCCGGTAATGGAGATGGCAGTATTTTAAAAGATGCAAGAATACACAGAAACAATGACTGTGTTTATGCAAGATATCTTGTGAGGATGTTTAGACACCTGCCTAGAGAAAGTGTTGATAATGCTATGTATATTGGGAAGACACGCACCTAATAAGTTGTTTCTTATATTCACACAGCTTGCGCTTATTCTAGTGTAACTCTCACCCTAGAAAGCAAAATTCACTTAAATCCTCTTCTCCTGATAGTTTCACACAAATTAATTTCTTAATTAAAGCCTACAGAATAATCTTCTAGGGATTTTTTAAATCCAGAAATGGTGAATATTAACTTCTAGACTAGAGCTGCAAAGGAAAATTCTTCCTACATGATATGATCAGTGAATAGTCATCTACTCACCTTCTTTAGCAATGGTATCTGCAGTCTCTGCAGCCCTGTCTTTCAGGTCTTTGACAACATTGTCCAGTTGAGCCTCATGCTTCAGGAAGAAAGGCCGGATGATTCGGTGATAGAGGAACTCCGCTCCATTAGAGGGACTTGGAGCCATGCACCAGAGCAGAAAGCCACACTAGAAGGAGGAAGAGCAGCTGCATCAGCAGAAAAGTAGGAGACTAGGGGAATGTGCCCTCCTAACTCTGCCATAGACTTCAATGTATTTATTTAAAACAGTACATCAACTCCTTCATTCTGTACGGCCATAGTCCCTAAGTATGCATATCAGTTGTTTCATACAGGAAATCTTTATATAATAATTTAATGCATACTGATAAAGATGGTGGGCTGTAGCAGTAAAACCGAACTGGTAAAAAGTGTATCAAGACTGCATATATTGTTTTTCTTTTATCCTAAGGTACAGAAGTAGTATAAAAGCTGATTAGATGAAACATTAGTCTCTAGCTACTTCTGACTTACATGGCACAACTGATGGTTAATGTTCTTCCATCACTTAGATCAAGCCAACATATATACCTCCACTTCCTCACCCAGACATGTTGTAGGGGAAAGACTGGGTTTACTTGCACCCCAATGGTAAAGCAACAAGATGAAAAGATACAGATACACATTGTGCAAGACCAGGTAATTATTTTGGATTGCATAGTTTATACAATTTGCTGAGGAAAGAAAAAAAAAAAAAAGGAAAAAACAACAAACCCAACTAAAAAAAAAAAACCACTACTACTCTAATTCTACATGCCTCTTCATCACAGAAGCACCTTTATATGTCCTCAGTTCCAATGTCATACACACTACAAAGGTGGCTATGCAAAATAACGTCAAAACACTTCAAGTACAGGAAGTGCCACAAATAAATTTGCCTGAGCTCTGAAAAGTATCAAACTAGACATTTAAAATTCAGAGTAACAATAAATAACTTAAGTGATCTGCTCTGAAATAAAAACAGTAGTGCTACTTTTCAGCAACTGTGGCAAATAGGACTTATTTGTATAGTTTGTATTTCAGTTTTCCCATTTTCACAGGAATGAAAAGACAATACTTTCAATGCAAGCACCACATCATCTGAAACTCATCTGAATAACATGGGCAGTTTCTTATTTATTTGTGAGGTTTCCAGCATACTGCATAGCCCAAAAGCATTTCCTAGAAGTTGTTCAGTTACAGCATTCTTTCAGAGTTATCACTGTGCCTAGCCAGGCATTTATCTCCTTCCACTCCTTCCATGTTTTTGATTTCCATGGGAAAGCTAATGTAAAAATAAAATACTAAATATTTTTTTAAAAAGCATAGCCAACATTTAAAAATAAAATGTGATCCAGGAGTGATTCTGAAGGAGCCTGCTGACATCTATTCATTCTTGAATACATTAAAGTAGTTAGGTTGTAGGTCTATATTTTAGGAGGAGTGGTGGTACATTAACTGAAATACCTTCAGCATGTAGTAGAAAGGGAACCAGGACAGAAAGATATCAGAGAAGAATTCTGCAATGCTGAAAACACCATACACAACCCAGTAAGTCAGCCACTGTGTGTCATCATCTTTGTTGGGACTTTCAATGGCCTTGATTCTGTAAGGAAAACAAAATGAGTGAGCAGATCAGTAGCATCTACAATGATGACATTTTTACATCTCAGTTCTATAGTTATACGTGAATTCTCATCATTTAATAACAATGCTCTAAAAAAACACTAAAATGCTAACCCTGTAGTGCAACTGCCAGGTCACAGCCTGAAACAGTGGTTGAGCACCAGGTGGGAAGGCATAGGTAACCCAGGAGTTCAGGTGCAAGCAATGCACCTGCATGATCGGAAGGGCTAGAGTCTGGATCCACCCCTCCTCAGCCTCTTTTACAGGTTAGCAGTCAAGGAGTAGCATCCTTCTGGATAGAGACTGAGCTGTTACCAGTCATCAGAAGTAGTGAGCTAATTTTCCCTTTAAAAAACAAAAAACCTGCTATGTTCCACAGGGTTTGTATCCCACTAGAAGGTACTGTTATCACCTACTTTTGCCATACATACCCATCCTCAGTGTCCCTAAAATCTCTGAATAGCAAAGCTTTTTAGTAGCTCACAACCTGAGCTACTTCTCATTGTGTGATTACAAAAGAAAGCAAATTAAATATATATATATATCATCACCTACCAGTGGGAGAAAGGACCAGTTCTGAATGCACTTGGCAATCTTTACCAGAAGACCATTGTATGTGGAGGAGTTCATGACCCATGTAACAGCCAACCTCAGCACACCCAACTCTGTGTTCCACACATTTCATGGGTTCCCCAGCTGATGATAACAAGAGCGTACAGGCAGCAACAACACCATGCACCTGCCTCAACCACATCCAAAATGAGGTCACTCTGTTCAAGGATGAGGTCAGAACTGAGTGCACCAGTGGATGTTCAGTGCTGCAGCTCAGGGTTCAAGCATCCACAGGGATGCGAGGTTGTCTGCACTGCACTCTATTTCCTTGCACTGTTATCTCTAAAAACCAGCATTTTAAATGATGCTTTGCAGAATCATTCTCACTGGGATAATTATGATGGACCGGCACCTGACACTGCAAACAGTATCTAGATTAAAATTTTAAACTTCGTTCAGGATTGTGAAGTGAATCTCAAATATTTTTGTATTTTATTTTTATATGCACCAGACTGCAAGATGTAATTACAAGTGAGCCCGTGGCAACGAATAGGCAGCATAAGGCAACCTCCTCTGATATGTGGTGAGGACCACAGCTGCATCCCCAGCTGTTCTGCTCTGTAAACCTACTCCTGCAGGACTCACAAACTGTGATGTAAGTTCCTGTATTAGGACCAGAAGCTTCAGGAAAGTCTGGGGCTTCCTGCTTACAGCTAACTGGCTTTTTGTTCTCCATCTGCCAGAAAACACAATATGAGTTTTCAGTTTTAAAGTAGGAAGCTGAAAAAACCAATGCTGCAGCAACTGCAGGATGCGGTAAAGCTGCAAAAATTCCATTCTGACTTCAGTAGATCTACAAGCTGCAAAGAGATGTCTGTCTGTGAGTACCCTCCTGGGCAAACCCTTCAGACTGCATCACTTCCTGGTTCTGTATGTGAAGACAGAAAGGCAATCATGTGATAAGCCTTATGTTTTAGCAAATCCATGTGAGCCCACTGCATGCAGACAGCACTGGCACAGCTACCGTACTGGATTACCCTGAAACGCAACACGAAATCTTGATGCTTAATGTATGCACTGTTTCCACCAGTTTGTGGCTGGAGCAGCCCTTGTCCTAAGTCGTGCACAGCAGGGGCTGTAGGTGAGCACAGCACAGCCAGAAGGACAGCTTTCTGCAGGTGGACAGCAGGAGGAGTGCTTGCTGCTGCCTCCGAAATCAGCACAGGGGAGCAGCAGCCTCACAGCCGCTCAGACTGTGCCAATTCAAGGTTGGCTGCAGATCCGTTTAACCCATTGCAACCAGTTAAGCTGGTATGAAAAAAGAGCAGAGTTAAAGGAGAAGACTTCTATGCAGGCTCTTCTCAAGGTGTGAAAAACTACAAGCAAGTAGCAGGGAAGTCGAGTGGTGAACAAAGGGTCAGGTGGAAGAGACACAGAAACTTTGGCAAGTGCCTCACTGTGAAGGAAAACTTGCCGATGGACTTTAGTGCGTGAATGCTTCCCATTATGCTGAAAGTTCTGCACCAGCAGCACATTGAGGAAGGCTATTTTACCACAAGAAGCATGCTTACTTGGTATCTGTGGGAGGACACTGCAGTGAAACTGCCCTCAGCCCTGCAGTTCTCCATTTGCTCCCTGAAGCCACCCATATACTTAAGGAGAGACTGCTTAAATTCTGCTACAATCACTAAAATCATCTTAGCAGTTGTGATAATCAGTTTTCATGAACAGAACCTCCAATTCTGTGGCAAAAGGCAGACGACACATCACTGTTACTGTGGTATGCTTTAGATTCTTCTCTCTCCTGCAAGAATGGATATCTTGGAGGACCTCCAAAAATGGGTATGCTCCATTTGGATGTTCACCGGCAGCTGCTGCAGCTCCTTATGCTGGTATCTTGCCCAGTCAAACCACGGAGAGCATACTGACTGTCCTCATAGAAAGTATGAAGAAAGGCTCCAATTAACAAGCAAACCAGAGCGTCAGACTTGAGGTTTTCCCCCTCCATCAGGTATTAATTATTTCTGGAGTATTTCTGCTTCACGAGGATATTTATGAAACATCTGCATTTGCTCCTATCTATGATATACTCATTCACCCAAAAATCTCATGAAATGGCAGCCTTTGTTGCAAAGTATTCCTGATCTCACTTGTAAGTTTCGCTAGCACAAAAAAGGAAGTGCTGCCAATCCTGCAAGTTTCAGTTTAACTGTAAAGCCGTGAACCTCCAAATACTACGGAACAAAAAAAAATGGAAGTTTTTAGAATTATGAACAGCCAGCCCTGACAGCATTACAGTAAGACACGTGAAAACACTACCCCCAAGGATGTGACACTGAAATAATATTTAAAAAAAATAAACAAACGATAATAATCTTCAGCCAGTCTAATTATAATGATTGCTGCCAATATAAAGAATGACTACAACTTTAAGCACAGCAATCACCGGACCATCAGTGACAGGACCATCAATCACCAGCAGAGAAAGGCCACCCTCTGGCCAAGCCAACAGTCAAGTTCTCAGTTGATGTTAACTGTTATTTTCACTTCAGCTTATGTACTATATGTGAGACCTCACAGTTTTGCCAGTCTTCCTCCTGGTGGTGCTTAGATATCTAAAGAACAAGGATTCCATCCATCAGTGATAAAGGAGTGCCTGAATCAGACACTGCCATGGACAGATTGTCACATGCAGCAATACTACAAGTAGTCAAGAACTGGTCTGGTCACATCAGCATTAAGTCCACATGCAGTGCTTTCTTGCACATTGCAGGAAATAGCACACTTCCCTTCTGTGATGGGACAACCTCAGCGGACAGACAGCTGCCACACCAAGAAGGTGACAACAACCAGCCCTATCAGCTCAGAAGAAAGAACAAAAATTGCACCTGTTAGGGGGGGAAAAAAAAAAAAAAGCAAGTATTTGAAGTGCATTCTGCTTCAGAATGAAAATAAGTCCCTGAGAGTGGCAATGCAAATCCACAGAACATATCCCTGTAATACTTCTTATTCAAGAATTCATTTTTATTTTTTTCTTCATGTTAGATCTTGAAGTAGTCAGTGTGATACTCATCTAGCAATCTCTATCAATCAGAGCAAATATACAGATCACAAGACACTGTCAGCTCAGTCAACTTAAGGACAGCCTTCCTGTAATCATTACAATGCAAGAGCAAGTGTACAAAAATCTCAGTAGGATATAACATTAAGATCTCCTAACAAAGGAAGGCACATTCAAAACCTATGGTTTCCAATTTAAACAAAGAAAAGGTATTCTTGTACTTTTTTGAAAGTTTTTTCTAATACTGATTTTACTAAATTCTATGGTAGTCATATGGAACAATCAGACATCACAAAGGACTTCATACAGTGCTTTTACACTAATTGTGGAGGGCTTCAAGTACAGTTTTACACAACTATTCACAGTAGTTAGGGCATGTAGGAGGTAACAGCAGTCACCATGACAGCTTTCAGCAGACTGGATAGTAAACATCACAACTTAAAACTAGGTATTTGTCCAGCACTGAATATACCCAGCCATAAGCCAGCATTGCAACCTGAGTAGATAGAGGGGGAGCACAACAAAAGCTTAATTTTTTGCCATATTTGTTAAATGACAGCCCAGATAACAGGTAATGACAGTGGGGAAGAGCTGAGGATGTCACTGTCTCCTGCAGCTCTGGGCTCACTGTAGCTGTGCAGCTGTGTAGCTGCAGTCTAAGGACCTCAGGTCAATTTTAACTGCCTGACAAGATCAGTCCAACTGGACCAAGTCGAGCATTTAACTGTACCAAATCCAATGTTTGTAATTTGCCAAGTTGAGCTCTTTCCCTTAAAGGTTCTGACTCATTTTTTAACTACCACCTCTTTTCCAGGAAGAGTCTGTTAGTCACTCCAGAACTAGATCTGGCAGAGGAAATCATTGTTGGAGTTAATTCATGCATACATTACTCACAGGACCAGCATATCATGATTTTACCAAATGAGCAGTTGTTGTGGTTTTTTTTCCTCTCAAACTCCATCCAGCTAGTAAGATGCATAAGCCAGAAATCAAGAAATGCTGAAATGTATTACTCTAGTGTCATGTGATCACCCAAAACTCTGCAGTTACAAGGTGTACCTGGTCCCTCTTGTATAAATCAAGTTTAAGACAAAAGACACAATAGCCACAAGTATAAGCAAGAATATGGTGCTCAGTAAACCATGTAACCATCAATACAGTGATTTAATAACCACACTGCATTGCCAAATTCAAAGTAAGCCAAGTGCTCATGCTGTACTTTGGGAAGAATCATAGAATCACAGAATGGTCTGTGTTGAAAAGGACACAATCATCATCTGGTTTCAACCCCCCTGCTATGTGCAGGGTCGCCAGCCACCAGACCAGGCTGCCCAGAGCCACATCCAGCCTGGCCTTGAATGCCTCCA